GTGACAATCAAGCAGCCATAAATATTGCTCACAATCCTGTCCAACATGATCGTACAAAGCATATTGAGGTGGATAGACACTTTATTAGAGAAAGAATTGCTAGCGGAGAGATTTGCCTTCCTTTTGTAAGGTCAGAAGACCAACTAGCTGATTGCCTCACTAAAGGTGTTCACCATCCAAAGTTTGCTAAGAACCTTGCCAAGCTGGGCATGATTGGCATATATGCTCAGGTTGAGGGGGAGTGTTGAGAATGGCTAGATAGGGGTGTTTTTGGTTTTTTTCTCCTTTCTTATACTCTCTCATTATTTGGGCACCCATATAGGGGCCTTCTTGTAATTATTATTTTCTTAGATTATAGTGTATTCTTTTGAGGGTGTGAACAGTGAAAAAACACACACCTCTCGACACTTGCTCTCTTCTTCCCCTTCTTCTTCTTCTTCTCTTCTCTTCCCTTCCTCCTCTCTCTTGAAACCCTAGTTTCTACAACTAAAACGAAAAAGAATAGAAGAACAGTATATAAGATTTTGAATCAATGATAGTATCGATGCTCTGATACCATGTATGTACTTGTCTATATTCAGTTCTATAGAAGAAGAAGAAGAGAATAGAAGACAAAGAGGTTTAGAAGAAATGGGCAGCCCCTCTCTCCAGCCCTCCAAGACAACTTTTATACTAGGGCAATAAGAAAGAGATACAATGACAAATCTGCCCCTGATTAGTAGGTAGTAAGAAAACATAAAAACAAAGTAGGCCCAGGACCATTTAGCCGAAGAAGGAAGTTACACAAGTAAATGTTATGACATAACATAAATAGGCCCAAGCCCACAATGCTAGGCTACACAACGTGTATGTCTTTTTTCCTTCATAAATTGACCTTAGTATTACAGTATAAGAGTGGGACTCAAGGAACCTGGCAGCATTGACACACTTTGAGACAAGCTAGACAACTCACAAGGAAGATAGGAGTGATACGGCTATAGACTCACAGAGCAGCAAATGGTGTGGCCAATTCACTGTCTAGGCAAGGGGTTAGTAAAGAACAATTTTATTTGGGGGTTACAACTTAGCTGTGATTTGTTAAAACAGATAAGAATTAGGTAGCATCTTCTAGCCTAACAAGTCAGATCTTTAACCACTCATAAATACAGTTCTTTCCTCACAATCAATAAATTTTTTTCACTATAACCAATAAAAAAGAAAATTTGATAGGAGCCAATTGTAGAAGTGAGTTACATAAACTTGATGGTTGATGGACATTCAAGAGTGGTTGTGAGCTGGTTAATGAAAAACAGCCTAGTATCATGGCAATATCAAAACCAGTGTTTTAAAAGGCGTGGGAGGCGTACGCCTGGAGGCGCGCCTCCAGGTGAGGCACTCCCAAAACGCCCTGAGGCGTATGCCAGAGGCACTGACACCTCTGAGGCGTACGCCTCTTGCGCTTTTTTCATGAGGCATGCTAGAGGCATACGCCTCATGTGCCTCATGCACATCTGATATAAAAAGACAAAAAAAGGAAAAGAAAGAAAAGGAAAAGAAAGGGAAGGGAAAGAAAAAGAAACGAGCTCGCTTCGCTCGCTTGCCTCTGCTTCGACAAGACCCCCCCTTTGAACTAATGTTATGCATCTTTATTCTTCTTAATATAAAAGATTTTTATTAAAAATAAAGAAAAAATGAGATCCCCCCTTCCTCTTCATCCTCCTCCTAACCCCCCTTGTGCATTCTGAACTACACCTCACGCCTCTTAAGTAGCGGAACGCCTCGCGTCACGCCTCTGCGTTTTAAAACATTGATCAAAACATCATGAGGGAAATAAGAATTTTGGAAAGGGAAGTAATTAGCATTTTCAGTTGAGTTCATACATCAGCTAATTGTATGGCTGATGCCTAGATATGGATACTAAGATAAACAGATACGTAAAATGTGACATGATACTTCCTTTCCTAGATTGTGGATACTGTTATAGGTAGGGATTCACGATCTAATATGCTTAAATCATGCTTTTATATCTAATTTATGAAGCCAAATGTCATTTCTAGGACTTGACTCTTGCCAGACTTAATTAAATTTCTAACATGTACAGAATTTTTATGCTATAACTTGTTAAAACATACTTCAAAAGTGTTAATGCTATAGAGTACGTCTGGAAGTATCCATGCAGTATCCAGTATTGTATCTGAAACCGTTATGCCTACAGCAGGCATGTATAAGTATCCAGGTATCAGAGTTTATTCCATGGAAAAAAAGGGATAAATAGGATATAGTTATTTTGGGGATAATTAAAAGACTAATTTGTGAAACAAAAGGGAAACAAAACATCTCCCAGCCTAATCTGTAGGGATGTTTGGAACTACTTCATTCTTATTCTTTATCCCTTTCAAAAAAAAATATTTAAATAATAAAATGTTTGAGGGTACAGTAATCAACTCGACTTCACTTCAGCCATTAAGAAGCTCACAACTTAAAAACTTAATTACTAAATGACAAAGCAATAAATGATTCAGTTCAGCCACTTCAGCTGTTATCAAACAGTCCCTAAGGGCAGAACTGTCAGCTCTTATTTATGGACTGAGATTTGCATAGAAGAGAGACTGGACTGGCTTGCTTTGTTGAAGGAGATTATCAAGTTATGATTATTTGGTTTCTATTGGTTGAAGGGACATGGTGTTTAAGATGTGAAACCAGGATATTATTGACTTTCTTTCCCGTCTGTACTGCTCATTGAGTTGGATACTAAGGTCCTGCTAATGACGAACAGATATACTAGCCAGGTTGGGCTTTAACAAGAAAGAATTAGGGGTGCCAACCAAAGTGGTGTTTAACTTGGGCTGCAATCTTAAATAAAATCCAAACCATTGAAAATTTAAGGGCAAGGGGTATTATACTGGTGAACCAATGTCCACCTTGTGAGGAGGACTAGCAATCAGTATAGCACTTACTTCTTCACTGCCCTTTTTTCTTTCAGAGCTCGGGCTCATTTTGTCAAGCTCTTTGGCAAATCTTGGGTGTCTCTTAAGGATTTGTGCTTTATTCTCAGCTTGGCCTGAAGGGAATTTCAGCAAGAAAGGGAAGCTTCTTTGTCTTCCTCTCCTCTTGTAATCTGCTGGGTTTTATGGGGGAAGGAGCAACCAAATCTTCAATTGTAAAGCTTCACAGGTGGAGATAGTGATAAGGAAAGCAGAAAGGCTACTTATCTCATGGGCATCCCTTAAGAAGGAATTCAGCATGCTATCTTTTCAGCATTTTTGTAATAAGTGGGGTCAAATTATTGGTCACAACCCTGGCTGGCATTTTTATTTACTCTCTTTTTTTTGTATATGTTGTGAATAGCATACTCTGGGAGCCCCCTCTTCTCATTGTGGCTTTCATATAATTTCTGGGTCTATAATGGGGGGAGTGCCAGATCCAGGATAACATTTGTAATCTGCTTTATTCTTAGATTAGCTGATGCTGCCAACAATGGCTATTGATATTGTTTTGACTACCTCTCTAAGTATCTTAGAGAGTAGGGCTTCTCTATATATTCTCCTCGCTTTCAAAAAAATTACCATTAATGATCAGAAAAATTGTTGAAAAATGCCTAGACATGTTAAAAGGAGGTACTTCTCTGCACTGTTGCTTCACATTAGTAGCCAGAGCAAAGAGAGATGGTATGGTTCCACTGGTGCTGAACATTTGAAGAATGTAACAAATAGGAAAAGTGGTTACATAGTTTAAAAGATAAATCTCAGCATTAGTTCCCACAAACAAAATGCACTGAAAATTTGGAAAAGTGATCAATAATATTTATATTGAGGAAAATCAATGGATTCTGCTCAATAGATGAAGTGAACTTGAAACTTGAAAGGAACTATTAAGGAGATTATTTCCTCCTAATCAGTATTTGGTGAGGTTGTGTTGTTATCCCTGCTTTAAGGACTCAACTTTCTGTTTGTATGGGGCCTATGGGCTTTGAGAGAGTCATTGAGGGGAGATTCTTAGAAGTCATATAGGTTGAATCATTGACGAAAGAAAGATCCTGGGGATCTTTGAGCTCAAGGTTGATTCCCTTGTTTGTCTGGGTCCAAATATCTACTAATTTGATGGCTGACTCACAGAAGAGGGGACATTAAAGAGTGATATCAAGTGCAAAATGTACAAATAAAACCCAAAGGATTTACTTTTCTTCTCTTAATGGCCTTATCAACCTTCTTGAAAATTGGATATTTTAGAAAATTGTGAAAGGTAAGCTAGACATATCTTTATTTCAAAATTTATGACTTATGAGCATATTCTTTCAAGTTTCTTCTTCATGTTTGTCCATTTCAAGTATTAGCTAAATGTGTCTGAATAAGGTAAGAAGTTGTTAATGGCATTATTAGAGCTGGAACTTTTTCTGGAACTAGTAGCATTAAAAGTTTCCAAAACTATTGCTATTTTCACAAGGTACATGAATCTAACGTGCAGTCATTGGATTGGACCATTAAAGCTAAAACTATTTGTCCAGGTAATTTGCATTGAATTGTTTGGGAGTACAATCTCAGTAATTAATGCTACAGTTTATAGACAAGGACTTGTTTCATGCGATTCAACTCAACCCAACTATTGTCCATATGGAGTTGGCACTTTGTTTCATGCATTTCACACATTAAATTTCAACCTTTGCTTGTTTCATTTTAGGAAAGGATTTTGTGATGCAGACCATGTTTTGTACAAAAGTTTTGAGTAGCATTTCAATTGAGGAACTGAAATCAAGTCTCCTTAGTTTTTCCAAATCTTTCTAGATTTTATCCTGACCAAGCATTGGTTGTGGTTGTCTATTTCATAGATCAGATTTACAAATTGTTGTTTTTTTAAAGATAAGTAGCATTAGAATGTTAGTGATCAAATAAATAAATAATTATGTGGCATTGAAAGAAATCCTGTGCAATGAATTTCTCTGTGATCATGTTGATTGACCTTGAATGGCTTGGGATACTTGTATTTTCTGTTGTTGAATTTATTGTATTTGGTGATCTTTGCAGTTGCTGAACCAAATGGTTTGTGAATTCCCTCCAGGACACCCTTTATATAATGCTAGGCCTCTACATGATTCTCTTGGTCATACTCCACTTCAGGTCAGTGACAAAGATTCATATTTGAGTGAAGATGAATTCTATTTTCAAGTAAATGAATGTCTATTTGTATGAATTTTTTTATTTAATTTTGAATAGATTTTTTTTAACTGGATCAGAACGTTGCTAACTCAATGGTTAGAGTTTTTCTTTCTTTCTATTTTTTTTTTCTGAAAGCAAACTCAACGGTTATGTTTGATGATTAATTCACGTTACCTTCACATTTTTAGGCTCATTTAGCATGAGTGGACATGATTGGACAGGGTTGTTTATTGTAAGCATGGATGGCACAAATCTTAATCCATTCCAAGTAGGACATTGTTAAACATGGAAATTTGCATAAGATGGTTTGGATAAATGTCATTATTGTGAAATTTAGGCTGAAGAGAAGTATATTTTCATACTGGCACTGTCCATGATGTCTGCTTCCCAATCCCCAAACAACACATACACAAATTGGACCCCACCACTAACTGTTTTCTGGTGTTGCTTGTTTTTCAATTACTGAAATTAGCACATAAAGATGTTATAACATCGACACCAAGCAGGGGAAGTGTCCCTCTTTGCCGTACACTGTGGGGATCCATGTTAGTTTGATATCAGGGTAGCTCCACTCGATTGCTTGTACATTACATGAGGATATGGGTTCCTATATGCAGCAGATGGAATTCCAATTGAAGGCCCATAAAATAGTAATGCAAGTTGAGAACCAGGCAAATTTGTTTTTTATTAGTTGACAAGGCCTTGTTCTGTTTGTTGGATTGCAGGTTGTTGCTGGTGCCTTCCTGGTATTTATTATAGCGTATCTGATGAAGAACTCCAGTTAATGACATTGCCAAGCCAACATCGTAAACCTTTGGGAAGAGAACAAAGAGCTCTCACTTTCCCATTTATTGAAAGGTTATAAAACGATACAAGATCATGGTTTCGGGGACCAATACTGGCTTCTTCCTTTTTGACATTGGACCAAATGGGTGCAGCCCGGTCAGCCCCACACTGCTATCCCCTATGCATAGATTATTTCACAGCCAACAGTCTAAACGTCAATGTAACTTACGCTTCTCTATCTTTTTAACTTTGTACAGAATAGCTGGATTGAAGATTTGGGGCTCCCATTTGGAGGGCTTCTGTGTTGATTGAACTGCGTTGACTGGAGCGGCTTCGGAGTTCGGAGAAGTTACCTAATGTAGCTTCAAGGAAAGTCAATTGTTTGGCTTGTATAAACCTATTTTTGGTTTTTTCAGTTTTTTTACGAAACATGGCTTAACAGCTTGCTAGCATGTAACGCCCGAGGCCGCCGCAAGAAAGCCCTTCCAAACGAACACTTGCTTACCAACTCTCTCTCTCTCCTTAGTCCTTCCTTTTAATTTCTTCAGTGGGGCCAATGGACGAATGGGTCCAAGGTGGTAGACACCGCCATCCTCTGGTCTCAACCAAATCAACAGCCCAAAAGCCAAAATATTTCGAACTTGGAAACGCGGGGCGGCGGGGGGTAGACTGGCCTGCCCCGCTGCCGCTGGCCGCAAGGGAAGGTGATTGGGGTAGGTTGGAAACACGCTAAGCGTTGTCGTCGTCATAACGACCCCGAAGTTCCAACTTCCAACCGATCTATCCATGCTGGACGGAATTTCGTAACGTCTACTGAATACACAACAAAAGCACTAACGGTTTTAACGGTTATGCTGTGGGGGTGCGGACCACTTTCAGATCTTCCCCTATCCATTGGATAATCTTAACCATCCATCCATCAATCATAGATCATCGATGAGTTGCAGTTTAGTGATAAAAAAATATTAATTAAATGAATAATGTTAATTAAGCTCTATTTTTGTTTATTTATGTTTTAAATTCTCCGAAAGGGCCCTTCTCAAGCCTCTGTTTTTACGCTTTCACTGAATGCAAAAGCCTTACGCAACAGCCATTTAAATGCTTCGTTGGCTTCTTCGCCTCTCCCTTACTACTTTCACATGAGGGAGATCTGGAACTAGAAGAAGCCATGACGAAGAAGAGACCTCCGTCTACTCTACGCCACGTCTTCTGGTTCGGGACGAAGCTCGTAATCTCAATATCCATCGTGCTCTGCGTTTTCGCTCTTCTCAGACTCCACTCTCAGTCCAAGCTCCAATCTTCCATCGCTTCCTCTCGCAGATCTCGTAGCTTGGATGAGCACTTCGATGGCCCTTCCAAGGTTGCTTTTTTGTTTCTCGCACGAAGAAATCTTCCCCTCGATTTTCTATGGGAGAGCTTCTTCGAGGTCCGTATCTTTTCTTTCAATTCTTATTGCTTTCTTCTTCTTTAGGAAAAAGGAAAAACGATGTAGGAATTATGTTCATTGAGTTTGGGAGTTTACAGAATGCAGATGCCGCAAATTTCTCAATTTATATTCATTCAGAGCCTGGTTTTGTGTTTGACGAATCAACAACGAAGTCGTCTTTCTTTTACGGTCGGCAGTTGAGCAAGAGCATTAAGGTAATGCATTTTGGAAGGATTTGACTTGGTTTATTCCTTCAGCTAGTTCCTAGTTTCATATCATTTCGTTTCTTTTTAGTTTTTCCTTCCTTTGAATTGTTTGCCATTATTTTGTTATGATTGAATTGACTCATTTGCATGCAGGTTATGTGGGGAGAATCGAGTATGATTGAAGCTGAGAAGTTATTACTTGGAGCAGCTCTTGAGGATCCAGCAAATCAGAGATTTGTTCTCCTCTCAGATAGGTTGGTTACTTATTTCTAATATAGTTTGCTTTCCACTGCGACTACAAGATTTTTCTTGAAAAAAATTTGCTGAACCTGGGAAAGATGTTTGGGATAGTCATTTATTCTTGTAGCTACCACATGGAGGCTTTCAAAGAAAGCTTGAGGTTTTAAGCAGAGCTAGGCAGCGGTTAAATGTGGCTTCTATTAAATCAACTCAGAGGACCTTGATAGTCAAAATTGAGTTTGTTGATTTGATTCCAGTACGGAAACCAAACAACTCCATTTTACTCAACACTTCTGCTCGCCTTCCTTATTAGGAGGTTTCTTGTGAAACTATTCCTTTAGTTAGTCCAGGAGCTGATATTGAAGATACTTTCCTGAATGACAGCCCGCTAGGATATCTTAGTGGTTACAAGTCTTCCCAAAGAATTTCCTTTGCATAGTTTCAAGGTGCTGAGCAAGGCTAGGCGATGGGAGGCATCTTGTCACCTAGTCAGTAGGCACCTTGGCATTGCGTAAAGCAGTGGGATTTTTTTGAATAAAAACTATGAATCCTAGGGCAATTCCCTAGGTTCTATAGCAAGGAGTAACCATCTTTCATTATTAATTATCTATAATCTTCATAAAAAAAGATTATGAAGTGTTGCAAGAAAGTTTAGTTGATCTGGTTTTTCATTTGATTGATATCATGTTTGTGTTTTATTGGAGAGTTTCATGAAAGTATCATGGTCATTTGAACTAATCACTCAACATGTTAACCTACCTTGATATTTCTAAATTGTTATAATAAGGTAGTAGAACCTAGAAGCAATCTCCATTTTTCCATATGTTAGCAGGTTGTCAGTGTGTCATTTGGAGTAGCAACAAGAGGGTGCACTCATTGGATAATTTGGTTGATAGCATGTTGTGTTTTATTGGAGGGTCAAAATAAAGTGTTGTGACCATGCGAACTCTTTGTTCCACATGTTAAGCTATCTTTGTATTTCTTGATTGTCAAAGTAAGGCAGTCAACCTTAGAGGCAGTGTTTTAAAAGGCGTGAGCAGAAAAGAAAAGGAAAGGAAAACAAAGAAAGGGAAGGGAAAGAAAGAAATAAAGAGGTTAAAGAGGAAGATAAAAGCTTGGAAGAAAGATCTATTTGGAAAAGTGGAGGAGTCTAAGGAAAGAATTACCTCAAGGTTAGAGGAGTTTGATAAGAAGGAAACACTTGGGATTCTTAGTGGGGGAGGAAAGGGAGGAAAGGTGGACGTTGAAGTGTGAGCTGGAAGTTCTAAGGAAGGACGAAATTTCTTAGAGACAAAAATCTAGGTGTAAATGGCTTCTGAAAGAGGATGGTAATGCAAAGTTCTTTCATTCTTCAGCCAGTGGTAGAAGGTGAAAAAAAACAAATTGCCAAGTTAGAAGTGAATGGACAAGTGTTAACCAGGGAGGAGGAGATTGTTAAGGTGAATTCAATAAGAAAAAAAAGAAAACAGAGAATAGAAGAAGAGAAGAGAATGTAGTTAGGCTAGAGTTGCCGCCCCACTCATGACTCAACTATTTATATGTTTGCAATTTAAAACATAGTGTAGTTCCACTAATGCCCTTGCTGCTTACATAAACAACACAACTAACATAAACACAGTAATACAAATAACATAAAACAAAACAAACATGCAGTGGGGACCACATTAATAATTACTGCTCTACATCTCTACAGGGTCCATAGGCAGCAGCTGTTTTGGGCTGTTCTGTAATCTTTTTGGGCTTGTTTCCAGCTGTTTGTTGTAATTTGTAACTTATGTAACTTGTTTCTCACTCATTAATAAATTGGTTCCTCCTTGCTGATCATAAAAAGGGAAAAGAAAGAAAGAGGAGAAAAAAGAGAAAAGGGAATGGAAGGGGAGGGGAGGGGAGGAGAGGAAAGATAAATGAAAGAAGGTTTGGGTCGGGAATGGCTCACTTCGCTTGATTGCCTCCGCTTTGACAAGACTCTCCCTTTCATCTAGTGTTAGGCATTTTCATTATTCTTAAGACAAGACATCTTTCATAAAAAAAAAAAAAAAAAGATCCTCTTTCTTCTTCTTCCCCCATAAGGGGGTTTATGTCTCCTGCTCCTCTTATGTTTTGAACTACACCTCATGCCTCCAGGAAGATGCCTCCTGTCATGCCTCTGTGTTTTAAACATTGCCTAGAAGTATAGTTTTCAAGGTGACAAGGCGAGGCTCAGTGATGGTTTATTTATTTATTTATTATTTTTTGAACGAAACCTGTCTTTCACCATTATTTATGTCTAGTTGGATAATGTCATAGGTGATGAGTTTTTTGAATAAAAACCATGAATCTTAGGGTAATTCCTTAGGTTCCATAGCAAGTAGCAACCATCTTTCGCTATTAATTGTTTATAATCTTCATAAAAAAATGTATAAGCTTCATTTGAAACATAGAAAATCAATATATTCATGAAAAAGCTGAAAAAAAAAAGAAATTTCAAAAAATAGAGGGCTGAGCCTCTATTTTTGTTGTAGGAAAAGAAGAAAAGAAATGAAAGGGTGGAAGAGGAAGAAGAAGAAGGTGATGATGATGATGATGACAATAATCAATATGTGTTGATTGGATAAAATTTTGAGTTCTTCCATGCTTATCAGTTCAAGTTTTGAAGTCTTCGAGGGTTCAAATCAGTATACATGTTGATTGAACTCTAACAAATGAGAAATAATAAAAAGAAGCTAGTATTTTAACTAAACTGAATAGTTTAGTTTAACAATGTCTATTTTATTATTATAATCTCAAAAAGTTATGAATATAAAAGTATCCAAGAGCACTGTTTAAAAATGTCTTGGCAATTACCTTGACAACTATGTTCCCTTGATACCATCTTGATTTACCTTTCTGTCATGTTAAACTGGTTCCACCTTTTTTTTATCAGTAACAGAAACATTTCGTTAAAGAAAAATGAGAGAGAGGTACAATGGGAGGGGGAAGATAAACTCCCTTAACTCCCCAAAAAGCAAAAAAATTACATATAAGATGCCTTTGGTTCAAGTAATATTGAATCACTTTGCATGTTAAGATGGAACAATATTAAATGGCAAAGACAAGCTCATTCAGAAACCTTACCATTTCCCATAAAAAAAGCTCATTCAGAAACCTTTGTTTCAGTAATATCTGCTCCCATTTTTCCTAAAATCCTATTAATTTAGCATTTTTTTCTTAAATCCACATGAAATGTTTATGAGATATATACTTTAGACATGAGGTATGAAAATGAAATGCACCTCTTCATGAAGCTTATGCCTCATTTGAGGTATACATAACAATTTCTTTTTTCGCCTTTCTTATTTGTGACATAAATGAACAGCTAATGTACATAATAAATTCCATTTTTCTAGAGAATTTTGCCAAGTGAAAAAATTACTTTTAAACCTTTTTCTATATGTATAAAATGTTAGAATTCAAATATATGGACTATTTTAATATCATATGCTTTTTTTTGGTTGTATCCCCAAGTCCATGTTTTCATCTTACTAAGTAGGACTCCAAGACAAGCATTGGATTCCAATTCTCATGTCTGTGTCCATGTAATCAGTGATTTGTTTATTTCTCCTCACCTTAAGGCATGATTCAAGCCTAATGCCTTGAAAACTTCTGAAATTTTAGTTTAAGCCAAGCATGGCCTAATAGTGGAACTCATTCATAGCTGTGGTAAGTGGTTGTATGCCCAACTAACTAACCCAAGCATGTCCTGTTTTAACGTCTGTTTTTTAAACGACCTGTTATCTTTGTCTATTTTTGTGTTTTGACATCATTATTTAATTGCATGTATGTATATTTAATTTTTCAATTTTGTCTGCAGCTGTGTTCCTTTGTACAACTTTAGCTACATATATCACTACGTGATGTCTTCTCCAAGGAGTTTTGTTGACAGGTAGTCAGAATTGCAGGATCATATTTGGTTAATAAAATTTCCTTTTTTGATTACTTCGTTTTACTGTAAAGAGGGCTGAGTTTTGTATAGCCTATCTATGACAACTTGTGTTCTTTCCGTATGCAGCTTTCTTGATAAGAAAGAAAGTCGGTATAATCCAAAGATGTCACCTACCATACCAAAGGATAAATGGAGAAAAGGATCACAGGTTTTTATATTACTTCCTTTATTTTCCAATTTATCATCATTTTGATGCTAGAAATCTCATGACTTGGAATTGACCATAGAACTGAACTTGATCTAGTCTGCTTGGCCATTCCATGAGTCATGAGTTCCATATTTAAGATATGTAATAAATGCAAAATGGCTTTGAAAATATATAGAGTAAATTTATCATTGTGGTTTTTATATTAGAAATGCATTGATGGGTCATTATTGCTTGGAATGCAACTTGGGCAGGCCCAACCCAAGTATTAAACAGGCCAGGTTTGTCTCTTTAGGCCTCAGAGGGTCTGGAACCTTGGGTTTTTGCCCAAGGTCAGGTCAGATTTGGGCATAAGGTTTTGGGTAATCTGAGCTAGGACTGATCCAATCCAACTCAATCCCTGCTTGGTCTTCAGTCTATGGTATATAATATGCATATATATTTTGTACTTATATATGATATGATAAGCTATTCTGAAGGGTAGTTCAATTAGAGTTGCAACTTATTAAGTTACAATGGCATGATGGCGTCATCTGAATACCATATATAAATCTGACTTTCTCTAAGACTCAACAGAAATATATCTACATCTTAATTGCTGCAAAAGATGCAAGTGGAGCCCAGCAGCATGCCTCTTCTAGCTAGGTTGTCCAAAGTAAGCATTTCTTCCAAGTAGCAGTCCAAGCAAAGAAGGAAACCATAGAAGGGGTCACTGATTTCCACATAGCCTTGTAGTGGAAGTCATTAGGGAGGGAATTTTGGATCATATAGAGGAAGGACTTCAGGGTGAAAATTCCAGATTTGTCACCTACTCAAATTCTTCTGTCAAGAGAAGTAGGTTCCACCTGAGTGTTATGAACCATGTGTAGCAGAGAAATAAATCATCTAGCTCCCAGTCATTCAAATTTTTATGGAACCTCACCTGCCAAACAATGACATCCTCCAGCTTTTTGGGTTGGTAAAACTAATAAACGACTTTAGTGCCATGCTCAATTGCAATGACAAACTATCCACATCAAGGAAAGGATGAGGACCACTGGTATTGTCTTCTTTTGTTGTGTTGGGAGAAACAAAACATCCATGTATAAAGATTCTTTAAGATGCCTTAGTATTATAAAGGCTTTATAGTGAGACAGGCAGAAAAGTTATTTTCTACTGCATAGAGAAAACTGCTTTGAAATCCTTCCTGTCTTGTAACAGAACTCCCACTTAGCTTTTTAACATGCATAAAAATATCTTTCTTGGATCAAGATATAATTGTGCTTTTTTTCTTTTCAATTAGTTATTTTGAAATCTAAACACCAACTTGAACTGGTCTGGCTATTTTAGTGGATTACATTAATTCGGGGGCATGCAGAGGTGGTTGCAGATGACAAAAATATCTTCTCAGTTTTCAAGAAATTTTGCAAGGTATGCACTGAGGAATTTCATCTATATTTTCAACTAGTTTCAATTTATTGAAGGCTGCAATTTCGTTTTCTATCTACTACCATACAAATATAGTTGTATGTAAAATGTGGATCATTATTTTCCACAGTTACTGTATGGCTGCATCTTAACAAAGAAAATGCAATTTTTTATATTCAAGTTTTATTCACAATAACTTTAAGTTGCTTTCATGTTCATTCTCTTGAAAATATTTAGTAATTTGTATTGGTGCTTTTCACCTGCAGCGCCGACCACCCATCGATCCCAACAAGGGGAAGCAGAATATTGTGAGTGACATTCCTTATTTATTCCAAGAAAAGGAAGTGTCTGTTCCTTTTTATATATATTCTAACATTACAATAATCATTGAAATGGCTTCTGCTATTGCCAATATAAATTTGTTTTTTTAACATTTACTGATTTCTGAAGTACATTTTTATACATCATATCTGGCTGATTTCACCATTTAGTTCACATTCTAGAAGTATAGTGAATGTGCATGAACAGTGAGTCATGTAAAATTTGCAGTTAATTAGGCTGTGTTTGGTTTGAAAGAATAGGGAAATGTAGGGAAACCTATACAAACCTTGTACAGGTTTCCCTACCTTTTCTTTCAAAGCATTTAGTCTTATTATCTTTATTACATTATTCCAATACATGTGGAGCATCATATAACAGGTTTGCTTGTAGGGTCGTTTAGTGAGCTTCCTTAAACAATTCAGAGATGTTGAATTTGGCAAGTTAGTTTGAAGCTCATAAGGAGTCTCCATGTTCTCCACATCCTATACCTATGGAAGAAAAGAGGCACACAATGCCCAAGGAAACAAGAAGGGAACCCAACAACAAAGGGCTCCCATGATCTCTAACCAATATGATTATTTTTACTTTTACTTTTCCCCCAGAGAAGAATTCAATTTCTCCTCTCACTTCCTCATGGCATCTTCCCTTAAAGAATCAGCAGGAAGAAATTCCTTTGGAAATACATTGCAACCTCAAATCCAAAGAGACGGAAGAATGTGCTACTGGTTTTAGAAATTCCATATGTTGGAATTATTGTTGCAATTGAACTAGCTAATAGTCCACCTTCCATATTAGTATCTCTATTAATTCAGTTGTAAAACTAGGGTTTGTAGAAGAAAGAAAAGAGAAGAGAAGAAGAAGAAGAAGAATGTGTCGAGAGGTGTGTGTGTGTGTGTGCTCTACTATTCACACCCTCAAAAACTCTTTATATTTTGAAACAAGAATTTATAAGGAAGCCCCTACTTGGGCGCCCAAATACAAAGAGAATACAAAGAGACGAGGAAAAGACTAAAAACACCCTTGCCTAAATATTCTCAACACTCCCCCTCAAGCTAAGCATATATGTTAATCATGCTTAGCTTGGCAAGGTTCTTGGCAAACTTTGGATGGTAAACACCTTTAGTGAGGCAATCAGTTAGTTGGTCTTCCAACCTTACAAAAGGAAGACAAATCTCTCCACTAGCAACCTTTTCTCTAATAAAGTGTATGCTTTGTACAATCATATTGAACAGGATTGTGGGTAATATTTATGGTTGCTTGATTGTCATAATATAGTAGTCTCATTGAGATATCCTTTTGGATGCCCATCTCAGTCAATAAGGTCTTCAACTAGAGTAGTTCAAACAATCCATTGAGTCATTGCCCTGTATTTTGCCTTAGCACTAGAATGAGCAACTACAAATTATATCTTACTTCTCCATGAAACCACATTGCCTCCGACTAAGGCACAATAACCAAATTAGATCTTTTATCATCAATGGACCCTGCCCAATTAGCATCTGTGTAAGCCTCAATCTTTAGATGATCATGATTGGAATACAACATCCCTTTACCAGGACATCCTTTCAGATAGGCTAAAATTCTATTAATTGCTTACATATGAGATGTCCTAAGTTCATGCATATATTGGCTAACCATTCCAACAACATAGGATATGTCAGGTCTAGTCAAATAGAGATACAAAAGGCAGTCCACCAATCTCTGATATATCCTTCTGTCTAAAAGAACTTCTCCTTCAATAGAACTCAACTTGTGGTTGGGATTAATTGTAGTTTCCACATGCCTACACCCTAATTTTCCAACTTCATGAAGCAAGTCAAGTACATACTTCCTTTGTGATAGAAAAATTCCCTTCTTGGATCTTTTCACTTCAATGCCAAGAAAGTATTGGAGAGATACTTGTGATATCGTCGCTTGTCACGACAATGTCATCAACATATACTATCAATATTGTTACTCTACCATCAACTCTCCTAATGAATAAGGTGTGGTCAACATGCGATTGAAAAAAACCTGATCTTTAAGATAACATTTCTGAAATTGTCAAACTAGGCTTTAGGGGACTGCTTGAGCCCATACAAGGACTTCTTCAAGCAGTAAACTTTTCGTTCACTATTAGGAAAGCTAACCCCAAGTGGTAAGTCCATATACATTGCTTCTTGTAAGCCCCCATTAAGGAAGGCATTCTTTACATTCATTTGATATAAAGGCCAAGAGTAATGGACAGCAAGAAACATTATCACACAAATAGAGTTCATTTTGGCAATTGGAGCAAAGGTTTCCAAATAATCAATGCCATAAGTTTGAGTGTATCCTTTGGCTACAAGCCGAGCTTTGTACCTCTCAATTGAGCTATCTGCCTTGTGCTTAACAATGTAAATCTACTTACACCCAACAGGAATCTTATCCTTAGGACAAGGAGCAACCTCCCAAGTCTGATTCTTTATTAGGGCCTCCATTTCTTGGTTCATAGCTTCCTTCTAGTGAGGGGACTGCATTGCCTCCGTAGCACTGTGAGGGATGGAAACAAAAGAGATGGCAGAAATATAGGCACAATAGGAAGGTGAAAGAGCATCATAAGACACATTGTTAGTAATAGGATACTTGCTACATGTCCTCCTCCCTTTTTGAATGGCAATAGGAAGATCAAGGTCAGGATCAGTAGTAGAATTATCAGGAGGTTCAAGATTACTTGAGCCCAGGAGATTAGATTGTGATGGGCATTCTGCTTCAAGAGCCACCCTTTTTACTGCACTTGGTGAAAATCTGTTGCCAGGACCGAGGCCGATACACAGGAGGAGGGGGGGAAGGAATACCATCATTACAAAGAGAGGAAGGAGGAGGAACAGAGATAGAGACAGGAAAGCAAAAGGGAGTTTGATCTTCACTTGCATTCTCCCCTTGAAGAAAAGGACGAGATGATTGGAAAAAAGAGGACTCCAAAAAGGTAACATCCTTAGAGACATATCTCTTGCCAGAGAGAGCACCAAAGCATCTATAGCCTTTCTAGACTGGAGAGTAATCAAGGAATACACATTTAACTGATTTAGGATCAAACTTATGTCGGGAAGGACTTGTGTCATGAACAAAACAAACACAACAAAAGATCTTAAGGGGTAAATTAAAAGGAGGTTCATCAGGGAAGAGAAGTTGATGATGAGACTAAAGGTTAAGGACCCTTGATGGAAGTCCATTAATGAGATACACGGCTATCTAAACAGCATCACCCCAGAAATGGGTGGGAACATGAGTTTGAAACAGTAAACCTCGAGCAACTACAACCACATGCCTGTTCTTCCTTTTAGCCACCCCATTTTGTTATGGAGTATGACTACATGAACTTTGGTGAATAATGCCCCGATCTTCAAGAAATCTAGTAATTGATGTTTAAAGTCTCTACCATATTTATAAAGTTTTTAACAATCATAGAAACTTCATCTCAACTTTTCATTAAGTAGAGCCATGTATACCAACTGTAGTCATCAATGAAGAGGATGAAGTGTTATACCCACCCATGCAAGGGATAGCATATGGGCCCCAAACATCAATATGGATCAAATGGAAAACACCATTACTTCTTTTACTACTCGCAAAATTTGTGGTTTTACATTGTTTGGGTAGATGACAAACTTTACATTCAAGGTTCAACTTTGGCACTAAGTCAAATAAGTTTGGAAGCAAAAGTTTTACAGAGTTAAAAGACATATGACCAAAGTGACAATGCCATAATTTCACAAGACTCATTTTCTCATTTGAACAAAACTCAGTCTGGCTTGATAATCCATGCTCTGAAAGTCCATCAAAGAGGTAGACTCCATCAACTTCATGCCCACTTCCAATCATCTTCCCCATGCTCAGGTCCTGAAAAACACAATGGGTAGGAAAAAAGGCTACTGAGCAATTATGGGATTTTGTAAGAGAACTAACAGACAACAAATTTTTATGTAATTAGGGCACTTGAAGAACAAACCCAAGAAAAAAGGTTGAGTGAGTTTGGCTTCATCCTAACCCAAAATAGGGGTCTAAGATCCATCAACAACAATAACCTTGCCCTTCCCTAAGGTTAACTTATATGAGGTAAAATGTGAAGGCTTACCAATCATATGGGCACTGGCCCCAGAATCTACAATCCATGGGCTAAAAGATGTGAAACAAGCAAGTGCAGTACTTGTCTTAACATATGAACTAGATGGATTACTAGGTCCAGAACCAGATGAGGAGGATTTTCCACCATTTTCCAACTGCAACAGTATATTCCTGAGTCTGTCCATTACATCAAAGGAGTTAAGAACATCAAAAGGTTGAGCATCATTACCAATTGTAGCTAAGTGAGCATTGCCCTTCTTCCCGATTTTATATTTTTCCGATTTTAAATGAGGATTGAACTTCCAACACCTTTCCTTAGTATGCCTTGGCTTTTTGCAATAACCACAAACAACATCCTCAACCTTCTTAGTAACAGGGTGCTTACTAGTATTTTGCTTGGACTGTGATGACATGAAGGCAGAGTGATCAATCACAGGAGGTTGCATCATGGAAGTCCTACTCTCTTCCCCTTGTACAAGGGAGTAAGCAGAAGCAAGTAAAATCAAACTTTGGATTCAAGCCAGCCAAGAATTCAAAGACTCCATTCTCCTCAATGTACTTTCAATATTGTTCACCATCTTCAGGGTCCTTCCACACGAAAACTTTCAAGTGATCCATTTCTTCCTAGATAGACTGTAGAGAAGAAAAGTACATTAACAACAGATTTCTCCCCATGACGCATATTGCAAGCTTCCCTCCAAAGTTGGTATACTCTAGCAGTACTGTTAACTTGGACTAGGTGGCAACAACTCTATCCCAAATATCCTGGTCATTGGAAGAAACATGTAGTTCCGAGCAATATGAGGTTGCATTGAGCAAATCAACCGTGACATAGTTATCCTGTTCCCACTATGCAAATTTCGGATATTCAAGGTTTGGCTTCACCTCCTTTTCTGTGATGAATCCCAGTTTACCTCTCTCAGTGATGGTAAGTTTAGCAAATTGGGACCACTCTAAAAAGTTGGTTCCATCAAGTTTAATAGTAGTTATCATACAACTAGAAATGTCTACATTTCCCGAGAGCACACTGGAAACTATCTGTACATCCTTAGATGATTCCATATTCTATCAAAATACTTTCATGTCAACCAAAAAGACCCCCTATACTTAACCAAAGCTAAAGACCCAAGAGACTAGGTCACCACGCGGTTAAGAGACAAAAAGAGGCCAAAAAATTAGGTTGACGGCAAAATAGAGGGAGAATAAAATCTCCCAAAAGTTGTACAGGGCTTAGAAAATTACAGGACCACTTCCCGTCACTCCCAAAGTGTAAAACAACTTAAATGGTTTAGGTATTAGCAGAAGAAATAATTAAACATGGTGTATAAGGTTCAACATCAGATCTGGAATTTCTGCATTTTTTTCCTTGAAAAAACCACTAAAAATCACAGAGGCTTCGAATAGGAACAAGATTCATACCAAAAGTCTTCTAAAATCAGGGCGAATCAAACCATGTAGGATTCATTAACTGCTGCCGACACCTGTACGGACTGCTGATGTCATCCGATGGCAGTCTGATGTCAACAGATCACCTCATGGGAGAGGATCAGCAAGAAAGGTATTACCAAGTGCCTTTACCTGCTCTGATACCAAGTTGTAAAACTAGGATTTGTAGAATAAAGAAAAGAAAAGAGAAGAGAGTAGAAGAAGAAGAAGAATGTGTTGAGAGGTGTGTGTGTGTGTGTGTTCTAGTGTTCACCCTCAAAAACTCTTTATATTTTAATACAAGAAATTACAAGGAAACCCTACTTGGGCACCCAAATACAAAGAGAATACAAAAAGATGAGCAAAAGACTAAAAACACCCTTGCCTAAACATTCTCAACAAATTCAAACGGTTTTTCCTTTCTTTAGGTTTTAGGGCCTAAAGTTGCAATACCCTGGCTAAAGTTGAGAAAGTTTTAGGTTGAAATTAAGATAATGGTAAGTGCGGCCAACTGCTCTCTAGAGTTTGTAGGGCTAAGGGTTTTAGGGAGACTAAAGAGTTGGTAAAGCATGGGATTGTTACGAATTTTGTAGAGATACTTGGAGGGGGAAAAAACTGATGATAAAGATAAATTCTTTCATGTAAATGTGAGTGGAGAATGGGTGCTGAAATAGAGGCCTAGTTGAATAGTTTTGGAGGGAGAAACTAAAAATCTGCACATCTGATTTGATCTTTGGTGATCAGTGTTGCTGCAATATTTTTTTATCTCTTGTTTTAGTCTAACATTTTGAATAAAGGACTTGTAAACCTATTGAAACTCATAGGACAGTTAGTAACAAAAACCATAGGATAACTATGACATTGAAATTTTGTCATTTCTTATGAAGTCAAAAACAAGAAATTTCATCATGGGTCTGTATATTTTTTATTATCTAGTATCTGTTGCTCAAATCCTGTCTGTATTGCCGATCTTGGTTTAAAAAACTTTATAATGTCTCTACAATGGAGGCCTAGTTGACTTTGGAAATGATGCCAAAAGGTGTATATGTAATTGAATCCTTCTATTCAATAGCTAAAAGAAAACTAAAAATTTGACATGTTGGATGATCCTAGTTAAAGAAAGTACTTCATTTTTCTTTTAACTGTCACAGAGAATAGGGTAATTGGCAGAAAAAGATGGAAATATGGTGTTTGTGACCATCCTGTGAACATCTTTTATCCAAAATCACCTGTGGCACCTTATTAAATGGAAGGTCCTACCTCCTTAGATGTTTCAGTGTTTCTAACAAGCAGAGGAGGGCCTCCTGTTCTGTTTTTTCTTTTCTTTTTCTTTTTTTTTTTCTTTTTTTTTTTTGTGATGTGAGCACTCTTTAATGTCATGGCTAATGGAGTAGATTCAGATTTTGCACAGTTCGAGTTAAAAAAAAATGCACAGTACTTCTGGAGATATATTCTGTTTTCTAGCAATCTAGATTTATCGTCCTTGATGTCAATTCTTCCCCTTTGTTCTGATTTCCATCTCAATATCAAATGCAGAAGCTTCAGAAACAGCACAACTGTATCCCTGACGAACACTATGTGCAGACATTACTTGCAGTAAGTAAATATGTTACTACTATTGTTTTTGTTTATCATGTTGTTCTCATTCTGTATTGTTATTGTTGTTGCTCTTCTTGTTGTCATTACTCATTATGTTATCATTAAAAAAGGCCATTACCCAATGTTGGTCCTGGGTATATAGAATTTTAGGAGGGGTGAACTGGATATGGACCAAATCTTATGCATTTTCTTGCATGTCTGCTATCTGCTTTGGACCCATCTTCTCCCACTTGCCATTGTTAAGATTTTACCACTATACCAAGCAACAGCCCATATCATCATCATTACTGTCCATGAATTGTAGTTTACTTATTCCAACAGAGATTCATAATTGTATTGATTTATATGGTCCTTTCAGATGAGCAACCTTGAAGGTGAAGTTGAACAAAGAACCTTGACCTACACCTTGTGGAACCAATCTACATCAAAAATGGAAAGGAAGGGTTGGCATCCTATCACATTCAATTATGCAAATGCAGGTCGTGAACAAATCAAAATAATCAAGGTAATGATCTTGCATCATTCCAGCTAATTGACTCTATACCTTGACATATGGGCCATATGATGCATCACTAGGCACATTTGTCATGATATGTGATCACTCCCATATGCATCATTTTTCATTTAGACATATAGAGATGAGATCTTATTGAATGGTCCATTGAAACCACATCATGTATGTGAATGAATGAATCAGAAATTTCTGGCATGCTTTCTTTCCTTAATTCCCAATACAGACTTGTTAGGCTCTTCTTTCTTATTTTCCTTTCTTTTTCCTTTTTTTTTTCTTATTTGATCATTTCGGCACATGAAAAACTACTTGATCCTCTAGCATAAAAAAAGAAGATAATTAGTAGCATGGTAGATTGCAATTTAGATGCTGTCTAATCACTCTGCATGACTTGTCAAGAAATGCCACTTCCCTATTTCAACCCCCTTTTGCAAGGGTCCAAAAACAGTTCCTTAAACTTGGAACAACCTTGATGGAAATGCGTTGCTCTTTCTTCAGAGAACTATAGGATCCATCCTTGTCTCACAGTGTTCCTCTGCTATATATTTTTTCTTAATGTTTATTACACAGGCCTTGTGTGTTATAATTCTTTCTCTCATTGTGTGTCACTGTTTTCTTTCAGACGACCCCATATAGTTAGCATAAGGCTTTTTGACTTGACTTTGACTATCACTGTGTTCCTTTTTTTTATTTATAGATTTATTAATCTGGAGATACTCATTACTAACAATTCATTCATGTGTGCAGGATATCAACCATGTGTACTATGAAACTGAGTACCGGACAGAGTGGTGCCGTACCAATTCTGCATATGTCTCCTGCTTCCTCTTTGCAAGGAAGTTCTCAGAGGCTGCAGCCATGCGCCTTCTGAGTGAGGGGATAGTAGGTTCCTTTGATGCCACTGCCTTGTTAGACAACCACTCATAATTGCCTTAGTTATACCAGTTCTCATCTTCTAACAGCACACCTGACCATGTTAATTAGTTCAGGGAGAGGATATTTTGCAGGGTGACATGAGGAGGCACCCAAGAGGAATTAACACAAAAATTCTACGTACAAAGAACAGTTTTTGACCGGTAGCTGTTCGGCACAATATTAACACAAACACAAAAGATGACAAGTAAAGGAGCAGATGGTAGCTTTTAATTGAACTATCACAGTATGTCAAGAAGTGGAGGTTTGATTGCTAGGAGAACAGTAGAAATCACCACGATATGTTGAGGCGTCTGTAGGGAATCTATCCCAAAATCATATGCGCATAGAAACAATTTTTTATGATGTATATCCAAATAGGAAAAAGTGGCTATTCAACAGGATATTGACACAAATACAAAACGAGGAGACATGAAAGGAGCATATGGCAATTCTTTATCAAGTCATCAGAATATATTTAGAAATCTGTAGGTATGATCGTTGAGAGTTTCTTCATTGTCTTTTTAATTTGATCTTTCATGATAGTTCTTGCGAGTTGTATCCCATTTTGTGTGTGTTCTCAATTAAGAGTAAGGTTCAAGTTACCAGTATGGCTAAGATAATGGAATGGCAATTTTAGGATATGTATGATGGAATGATTAGAATATGCATAGATATTGCAGAGAAATGCAAATTCCACCAAAATCAATATTACTAAGTGTAAGGCTCAAAAATGACTAAAAAAGGTATGAAGACGCAACAAAACGTAATTTAATGGCTTATGTGAAGTGTCAACAACTAGGATGTGCTTGAAGAACGTTAAGGAAAAAGTGGAAGAATTAAGATGTGTATGGGCACTTAGGAAATAAATCTCATAAAATAGCTAAATAATGCAGATTCAGTATTCAATTAATTTTGAGAAACATAAAAAAGTGCGATAACATTCCTTGTTAAGGTATGCATTTCGTAAAACAGGCGCATAATGTATTAAATTGTATATTTATATATCCATTAAAAAAAAACAATCTAGATACAATTCTCCCATTCAATGGTCATTGATTCTTAGGTTTATGTTGTTCTAAAAAGGGTCTAAGGTTTATGCCTTTCTAACAAGGATCTAAGGTTGCATCCTGTATAGAGACATTTTAAGGATTTATCTCCTTTTTGTAGTTAAAAACTCAGTCTTCATAGGAGCATTTTAACTGCAAAAGAGGTAAGTCTTAAAATAAGAATGCCAAATGCAGCTTAAGTCTCCAACAAAGTTGGATACATCAAGCGTGTGATACATCACTGGTGTGTAAAATGCAATCAAATCAGCATGTGCTTCGTAGGTAGCATTTGATAAAACTGAAGTTGGATATCTGAAAAGCCAAAAAAAAAAAACTCTTCTTAATTATTGATCCGACATATGAGAACAACAGATATGCTTTTATGTTTTTGAAAGCCTTTGCGATTTAAAAAAAAAATGGCATTGTAGTTATTATGAACCATCTTAAACATATTTAAAAAACACATTTGACGTATGAACTCTTACCAAATCAAACTTATTATCACATTTTAATGGTATAATTTATATTCTAACACACAAATGAATTTCAACCTCTGAAAAGTTTGTTAAGCAAGTAGATTACTAGATCTCGTTTCAGTGTCATCAAGTGCGGAAATGCCAGTTTAGTGTATTTATCCCCAATAAAGCTTCTCCAATTAGGTAAAACCATATGTCCAGCCACCAAAACCAAAATATGACACATGACATTGGTATGACATGAATAAATTATACATCTTTAGAACTCAGATTCACTACAAAATTTCCAAAATACTTGTTCACCTTAAAGTTAAAATAATAGAAATGATTCGATGCCCTTGGTACATTTTGGTTTTTTTTGGTAGAAAAGATGATAATATTATAAAAGGCTAAGAAAACCAACCAGTACAGGCAGACAACACGGACAAAGACCAAAAACTCCAAACACACTAACCAAACTCAAAAGTAAAATAAAATTAAAAAGAAAAAACTAAAAAAAAAACAAGAAAAACAAACTACAACTCAGTCATTGGTAGTATTTTAGTTATTATCTATCGGTATTAAAATTTTCCAAAATACTACCAAAAAGGGTCTGTTTGGTATTGGAATTGGATTCGGGTGCTCACGGTTCAGTTAATCGAATCATGGGATATTTTTTCAAACCAAACCAATATGTTGGGTTTTTTAAATATGTAAACCGAAGCCAAACCAATGCAATCGGCTGAATTCAGTTTTTCGGTTTTTTTATGTCTTCAAAAAAAATAAAAAATAAAAACTAAAACCATCAGTGGTTGTTGTCGATGCCGGACTGGTTGGTGCCAGTGTTACCGCTTATCAGAGACGCAGAGAGCCTAAAGTGAGAGCTTGAGAGTTTGTCAGAGACGCAGAGAGAAGAGGTGAGAGAGAAAAGAGAAATACAGAGATCAGTCCTTGCTTGCCAGTGAGGTGGCGACCATCGGTGTTGCTGTGTTTTCAATGAAAAGTTCGATTTTCAATGAAAGTCTCAGCTGAACATTCAATGAAAGGTTCAAATTTTAAAAGAAAGGCTAAAGTCTTTGCCAACTCTTTTATTCGATTTAAAAATAATATATATATTACTATTTGTATGAAAATTGAAAAGGCGCCAGTAGGCTAACCTGGGGCACAAGAGCTAGGCGGACAGACCCGGGTTATTCAGTTTAAAAAATATATATAAATATAAATATAAATATAATATATATAATATATATCGGTCGGTTCGGTTAACTGTTGTTTTTTGTACAAGGTTAATCAAAACCGAATTGATCGGTTCGATTAACCAATTTTTTGGTTTGATTTTCTGATTTTTTTTGCTCACCCCTACCTATTTGGATCAAATAGAAATTGAATTAAATTTTGATTATTGCTATTTGATTCAATTGGAATCAACCAAATTTTCCAGTTCTGCTCCTATTCGTAGTGACGACGACAAAGATTTAGAAGAAGAAGAAGAAAAAGGAAAGAAAGAGGGTGGATTCCAGGTTTATTCGGTTGGATAGAGATTTGGAAGAAGATGGGGAGAAAGAAGAAGGGAAAAAGAAAGGAGATGGGAAGAAGAAGAGGGATATGCTAATACCTACCATCAACGGTATTAGTACTTTAGTAGTAGTGGTGGCCGGCAACAGAGGGGAGGAGAAGAGGGAAAGGAAGAAGAGAGGGGATGCGGGGGAAGGATGACCAAGCAGCTGCTGGTCTTATCTCATTGGAAATGGCGGTTGGCAGCGGCTAACTTAGATGGAGGAAGGCCTATGAGATGAAGACTTGAGGTCGAGTGGGACTTTGGATCGAAATGGGTTTTTTTTTTTTTTTTGTCAAAAATAAATAAAAAGTAGAGAGGCGGAATGGGAATCACATTCCTAGGGAGAGGAATGACCATTCTCCCATTAGGGGAATCCCATTCTGCCTAGAATGGGAATGGGAATCCCGTTCAGATCAACCAAATAGTTGGAAATGGAATGGGTCATTCGGATTCCAAGTGTCTATTTCTATGAACCAAATAGACCCTTAGTTCTTATATATTAGTAGTAATTGCCATGAGATGATTTGATGCAAAGAGGAAAAAAAAAACATATCATTGGTATCTTTGCAAGTGCAACAGAGGTACAATTCGGCTTATTTCGGTGGTGTTCATAATTGTGGTTAGGGGTGGATTTGAACCGAGCTAAGCTCGACTTGCCAAGACAATATGAGGCTCGAGCTCGGTTCAAATTAAAGACTTGAGCTCGAGTTCGGTTCGAGTCAAAAGCTCATAAGCTCGAGTTCGATTATGAGTCAAATGATTTATAAAGGTAAAAAATTGTACATAATTTTTTTATTTCATATTTAAAAATTAATAATTATAATAATTAGTTATTATATATAAAAATATTATAAATATGTATGTATGTATAGATATATGTAAAAGCTCGATTGAGCTTGTGAGCCTCATGAGCTAAGCTTTATTAGGCTCGACTTCAGCTCGATTAGTAGACAAGCCTATAAATTGGGATCGAGCTCGGCTCGAAGCTCAGTTTAAACCAAATCAAGCTCGAATAGCTCATGAAAAGCTCAACTTTGCTACCCCTAATTGTGACATTGCATTTAGTTTTAATTAGGGGTGAGAAAATGGGTCAATTCTACTCAAAATTAAGTAGACCTAAGGTTGCTCACAAGGAGAACCAAACCAATCAAACCAGCCCAACCCAACCTGATTTGATCGTTCTTTTAAAGGTGTCTATTGGTTTCAGTTCTTAAACTAAAACAACCCGAGAGTTTGGTTCCATTGCGGTTTTCACATTTGAATACCGAAATCTACTCGACCCAAACATGTATGCTTATATAATTATTATCTTTAGTTTAATATAGGTTATTACTTATTGGTTTTGGTTTAATATAGGTTATTAAACTTAGTAGCTTTGATCAACTTGTTTTCATCTTTTTGAAAGCCAACAAACCCTTGGGTCATTCTAACTCTATACTTATTACATAACCACCTCTTGGCATTGTTGGGGTTGGAAAACTATACACATAAAGGAAAGATGGAAAAGTGGGATTAAGGAAGAGTTGTTTACTGTTTGGGATTTCAACTTAGTATAATATAAACTATTCCACATTTACACTTTAAAGCCTAAAAACACACAATGAGGGAGAGGGATTGACAATCTTTGCTTCTTTGGGATACCTCGGCAAGGTTGCCAAGGTAAATCCCCCAATTCTCACAGAGTCACAGCCTCTTTTCTTGGACATTGGACCTCTTGTTCCTCTTGTTCCTCTTAGATGTCATGACTCATGACCTCTTCAGGTTTTCCTCTCCCTTAGTCCTCTCTAGGCTCTCCTCTGCAACTCTCGCCCACCATAACCAATGAAGCAACAACGTTTTCTTCTTATTTTATTTGAAACTCATCATTGTGAAGGCGTGTTACCACTGCTAACATTTTCCTCTCTTCGGGTGTGAAGGTGATTTAGTTATTTTGGTAGGTATTTCATAGAGTAAAGTTGCTAGAAATGGTTATAGTTCTCTTTTATTTGAGTCATCCCGCCAATTGCCCTAATTTCTTCTCTTTGTTGTTTTTGTTTTCTTATCAAGCTGAACGCTGGATGGTCATCCCCAAACCAACTTAGCCAAACCAAGGAACTGACCCAAACCAACCCTTCACGTTTGGGTTGGCTCCCCCTCGTGGTCAGTCAGTTTCAATTCCTTATATGCCAAACCAATCAGGTCAATTTGATTGGTCAAAAAGCTTTCAACTGACCCAACCCAACCCATGAACAACCCTAATTGGAACTGACCTCAAAACAACTTTGGTAATACTAGTTCAAATAGGTTTTCAAGTAGCCTCAATTTCAAATTATCGATATTAATTCCTATTTGGGCTTAGTTTTAGGGTCTAAGGGTTTACCCTATCCAAACTAACTTAGAGAACCAGCCCTAATTGGGCTTGGTAAGTTGATAGAACCAACCTTGATTTTTTTTTTTATTTTTTTGGTAAAAAGGATAATCATTCATTAGAGCAAAAGGCTGAAACAAAGTTTATACAAGAAGTTTGATTGTCACTAGTCCAGTTCAAAGTCAGGAAATTAGCA